CCCACATTAATTTTCTTTTATGATCTTAATTTCCCATTACAGCAAGTATCTAGAATATAAGCTTCCTTTAGTCAAACCAGACACAATGCCTCCTCCACTTGATTTAGTATTCTTAAAATGTAGATTTTAAATCATTTTAATGAACGTAGTATTATTTAGCTTTTATACAGTTCTTTATAATGTAGTTTCAAAGCAATTTATAGTTAATAACCATTCTTAACAAAGTATCTGCATGAATATTTGGAAGGCGACTTGACAAAATGGGATAAAAATTAAGTGTAAGACTGGCAGAAGTAGAACTAGAAATGAAATGACGAGGTTGAGGACATGCTATCCCAAAATATGGCATCTTGGCATATTGACTATTTTAAGCTGAAGGAGTTTGAGAAATGGCAGGTGCAGGAAGGAGTCTCTGACGTTTCCCTGAAGCAGATCATGGGGCCCTCATGAGAGGTGCACTCCCTATACCTGGGGGAAAGGAGTATCCTTAGCTCCCTTCCAAAGATGAGGGACACGGAGAAGAGTCTGAACAAACAGATCTTGCTAACTTTCCCTCAGTTTACTACCCTTAGCTTGCCTTTGTCCTATCACATCTTTCCATGACTTTCCCCTCTTCATGAAACCTAGCATAAAAACACTCAGGTTTAATTGTTTCTCTGGGTCTTTATTTCCTTATGAAGGCTTCCATGTCACATAAAACTTTTATTAAATAAATCTGTATGCTTTTCTCTTATTAATCTGTCTTTTGTTGTAGGGGTCCCAGTTAAGAACATAAAAGGGTAAAAATATTTTTCCTCCCCTAAAGGAGTATTCTAACTTCCTATCCATTTAATATTCTCTAAAACAACTTAAAAACACATATATTTTAATGATATGTATTTACAAGATTGATTAAAAGATGAGATAAAAATATAGATGAAAGAGATCACAAATTATACAGATCAGGATTATTTCCAAAGGTAATATTCTTTATAATATACAGATATACATTTGAAAAAGGATCCTAGGGACTCACCTAACTATGCTAGAATATTGTTAGGTCTATTTAAAACACAATTTTATCATTGTAAAATAAACCTCTTGAGGATGCAGGAGGATATCTAAACCTCTATTAATTACATAAACATCGAAGAGTCTTATTAAAAAAGGGGCTCCATCCAATAACCATTTTAGAAAATTTAACAAAAAGAGCCAAGTAATGTGTCTGGCATATATCAGCACTCATTAAATATCTGATGAAAGAATGAGCCATAATCAGAAGAGGTAGCAGATAGAAGCTTCCCTTGCTCCCACACATCCATTAAGATTTTTCCAAAACATGTTTTCTTCTCTTCAATTTCAAGACATAATCCCCACCAGGGAAAAGCGCCTTTTGAGTTTCTCAAACCAAAAGGGCCTAGTGTATACAATTTGTCCAGTGCTTTGATTGTAACAGAATTAACCTGGCACAAGCACCCGGTCTGGCAGGAGCAGCACTATGGGAGTCATAAGTGCCTTGTGGGAGCGCACGTGCGCACCACTGGTCCAGTCGGACTCCCAGAAGAGGCGTGCATGAGCGAGTACCTGCCCACTTCCCTCACTTCTCCTCCAAGCTCACAAGCTAAGGGCAGAGCCCACATTATGCTTTCTAAGAACACAAGGTGGATTTCAGTATGTCTCTATATACTCCTTTACATGGAGTCTTGCTCATGATATATTCTTGCAGAGGAAAAAAAACCACTCATAGTTCTAGAGGACAGGATGAAAAGAAATTCTACAAGGCTGAGGACAAGGGACTGAGATTTCATCTGTTTGCTCCATAAGTAAAAATGCTCCTTTCCTGAGTAAAGATGAAACAAAGTATTTTTTTAAATGAGGATAAGCTCAGAGCTTTATAAACCAAATCTAAGGTATAATTTACCAAGACCTGGAATAAAATTGATGTAAAATTTGAGATGCTAACAAAGTTGCCTGTTTTTTTAAAGATGAAGTAGTAAAAGCACTGCATTTTCTAAGATAATGGTCAAATCAGGGTTAAGGCAATCAGTTATAATCTAATCCAGGCCCAATATTGGCTTTTGCCTAAATTACCTATCTTTTTATTTCTGGGGCTATGTGCTTCAGTTTTCAACTTGACCTGCTTTATGAGTACTGGAGGAACACCAGGCCCAAAGGAACCAGGTTTACACACAAGCCAAAAAAAACCCCAACCCCCCAAAACATTAATCTCCCCCAAAAACTGCCCCGTGGAATAGGACAGCTGAGCAGTAACAAAAAAAGTACCTGATCTACTAAAACATTTTAGCATAAACCGATATGATTAAGATAACTTAAGCTCTTAAACCATGTATTGAAATTATGACTATAACACAAAATCAGAGGTTCTTGTGGGAAGTCCTCAAGAACTCATGGTCACAGCTGCCAGAAGCTGGGGGGGAAGAGGATGTGTGGCTGATGCATAATCTTAGAAAGAACGCTCACCAGCATCATCTTCCTCTTTTCTAACTCAAAAGTGGTGACTCTCCTTGATCTCTTTTATAGGAATTTTTTTTACTTGTTTATTTTTAATTATAGCCCATTGTCCGAGGCTGTAAGGAATGTGATCATCCCAGAGGCAGACAAGCATTAGGAAGCTTCCAACTGACAGCCTCAAACCTCTGCATCTTCCTGGTCCTCTGCTTGCGACAGCATGGACTGTCCATCGTGAACTCTCAAGAACATTGCTGGCCCCTTGCGTCAGAGACCCTTTCAGCATCAGGGTCTTTCCACTTGGCTATTAGTGTGAACAGGGAGAGGGATTTCAAGAAGAAATAAGTCAGGATGTCAAAAGGCCATATACTAGTGGAATATACAGAAAAGCCATATTTTTAACCTGATGTTTTTTATTTTATTTTATTTTTTTGCAACTTAATGAAAATATTAAATGCTAGTTAATCCAGTTTCTAAATCTTTTTAATTCCAGGGCCAGACAGACTGGAAGCAATTACGGCTTGTTCAGGGGTCTGTGGGAATGCTGACAGTTTTAATTTACATATTAATGCTGAAAAACAATTTGAGAGGCAAAGAAGAGCATTCTTTGGCCTTAATAATGAATAGGATAGGAAAAAAAATGGACTGGAAAGTGGTTGAAAAGCTCTAGGCAAAATGGTCTGGTTTATTTTTTCTGTAATAATTTCAAACTATCCACTGTAATAAGATACCATTCCAGTGGTGGATTTGCAGTCTTTTATTTTGCCTAAGATGACCATTCTTTGGCTGAGTGTCTTCAATAAAAGGCCTCACAATCAAAGTTAACAATCCATCTGTCCCAACTCCAACTCTTTCCTGGGAACAATTCATTCTATTTCTCGGTGTCTTCCTTTACCACCCACCTAGAATACTTATCTTACCACTCATAGGATAAAACAAAACAGAACACTGAAACACAGGAATTGTTTTAAATTATTAGGCTTCATTATACAGCCCAGTTGGACATTTGCTTATTGGAATTTACTTCTGCTTCAACCAGTTCTTTGAAAAATTCAGGAATCCTTTTCATTAAAATATTAGCTTGACCCAAGGATGTAAAAAAATTAGCTGCTTCAGCATTAGTTATTGCAGTCTGAGACCTCCCAAGAAGTCTAAAAAAACCAGAAGACTAAAGACAGCAAAATATGAACACAGAACATAGTTTGCAAGTCATTTAATAACTATAGCTGTATAAAATTTTCAGATTATTAATTTTATTTTTCTGAATTAAATACCAAATTTGTGAAACAAAATATATCATATGGCCCTTGAAAGAACTGTTACATGGTGGCTTAGCTCCAATGCAAAACTTCCTTCTGTATAAGGAAGAGAGAGGAATGCACAATAATCCTATGCGGTAGGTAGGTCCTATTATCCCCACTGAACATAGGAGGTAGACAAGGCTCAAAAAGATTAAGTAACCTACCAAAGGTTACACGGCCATGATTGGCAGTTTCTCACTGGGCACTGCAAACGTGACCACTTACAAAGAAAGATTAATTTTAAACTGAGTACTAGTCATTATTTACAAAATGAATACATTAATGTGGTTAACGACAAAATATTTTACTGACATTGGGCTTATAGAAAGTTCAAGGGAAACCAAAATTAAGGACTCCAGATTCATCTAGGCCCCTTTTATATACAAAATACTCCTAATTTCCTCATCCTACTACTGGAGGGGAAGGGGGAAGCTTGCTATGGTTTAAAGAAACAAAATAAAACAAAACACAGCAATACCATTCCTAGATATATATCCAAAAGAAAAATAGGTATTTAAACAAATACTTATACACAAATGTCCACAGCAGCATTATTCACAATAATCAAAAAGTGGAAAAAACTCCGAAATGTTCATCAAGAGATAAGTGGAAAAACATAATATGGTATCCAAGCAAGGGACTATTTTCATCTACGAAAAGAAATGAAGTCCTGATACATATCCCAATGTGGATTAACCTCGAAAATGTTATGCTGAGCGAAAGAGGCCAGACAGACATAAAAGGTCACATACTGTATGATTCCATTTACATGAAATATCCAGAATAAGTAAATCTACAGAGACAGAAAGTAACTCAGTGGTGGCTGGAGGGCTGGGAGGAAGAGGGTACCCAGAGTGACTGCTTAATAGACAAGGGGTCTCCTTTGGGGGTGATGAAAATGTTTTGGAACTAGACAGAGGTGGTGGTTGCACAACACTGTGAATGTACTAAATGCCACTGAATTATCCAATTCCAAATGGTGCATTTTGTGTTATGGGACTCTCACCTTGATTTAAAAACAAAAACAAAAAAACACAGAATAATGAAATAATGATGACTGACCATAAAGCCCTAGAAGAATAGCAGGTAAGTTGCTTTTTCTTGGTTTGTTAAAATTTCAGTGAGTTTTTGACTGTCATAAACCAATATGTAAAAAATTAGCCATTAAAAATTCCAAATAAGGCATTAATGTAGCTGAGGTCCCCTAATTTGCCCAGTTGGCAGAGCACCTAGTTGAGTTTACAGTATACGTGAAGCTCTAAAAATGTTTTTAATTGGTATAAAGTGCAAACAAAAGAATACTGAGAAATACATGAAAGGCCATAAAGTAGCCAGAGCCTAGAAAGAAGCTAACATACATGCATATGGGGAAATCCATATATTTAGGCAAACAGAGAGATGTAAACACTCGGGAGAGAAACTTGCTTTTTTCCTGATAACTTATTTTGTGCTTCTCCAAAAACTGAAGAGTAAATAGTAATTTACAGTCACCACCCTCCAGGTTGCAGCAAAGAGGTCACACACAGGGCGGGCCTCTGGCTGCCACTTGTAATTGCTTCCCTGGTGAACCAGCACAGGAGGCTGTTACTTCAGGAGACTCTCCACAGGGCTCCCCTTGTTCCCAGCTCAAAACTCAAGAGACACAATGGGCCCCATTCATCCGGGGAGTCCACAGGCTGGGGAATGGTCCCTCTGTGACAACTTTTTGTTGGGACGCGGAATTTTTATAAACATGGACTTGGACAAATATGTGTTCATTATTTTTTAAGAACAGCACAGAGTAAAAAAAATAAAATTCAATGGACACTAAACAGAGAGTCTGGACACCCAAGTCTTATCCCCAACTCTGTCAGTGATGTGACTTGAAGCAAGTCACTTGCTCTTTCTGAGCCCCCGTTTCCTTGTCTATAACATGAAAATGATTTCTAAGATCACTGAGAACTCTGAAATTTTATGAATACGTATGAGGTCTACCCATGTTGCTACACTATTTACTCTAGTAAGTGGGGATAAATTATGAGCAGAAAACAACCACGACTTCACATCTTTTCATTTACTATCAGCACTTGAAAACAAGGAGCCTTAATAAAAGGTCAGAGAAACTGTTTTCTGTTCTCTCTCTTACACAGACAAACGTAATGAATCAAGTCCAGTGAGTCCCTCCATCCCAAGTCCAGGATCACTCAAGCAGACAGCCCTACACAAAGCACAAGGATGAAGGGCACAAACAGAAGCCAAGAGTATGTATTTCATTAATAACCTTTTCTTAGGTGATTAGTGCACTTCATGAATCGCTCGATTTCTTTGCAATGACTCAAAATCACCAGCAGAAAGGTGCCATTTACAAGAAGATGATCACTGTCCCAAGCTTCCACACCATGTCATTTTTTTGTTTTTTCAACCTCAAAACTTGCCAAAGCAAGAACTTTGTCTCCAGAGCCTAAGGAGAAAGACACACAATAAAAGAAAAGGTCATTTTAAATGCATTTACAGTTCCAGGTAAAGAGGGGAAAACCTATCACATAGATATTAAAATAGAAAATAAAATCAGCTTCTATTATCAGTACATTACCCCCAAACTTTCCCAATGCCATCCCAATTTCCTTCCCTCTGCACAAACAATTCAGCTACATAGGGTCATTCACTGATTACAAATGTTTACTCTAGATGTATGAAATAAAATATGCAAAAATTTAGTTTATGTTCATATTAACATTTAGCTGACAAATATTTTTAAAACATTAGGCTACATGACTTTTTTTAATTAAAAAGTACTGGAAAACAAACCCAATCAAGGGATTTATAAAGAATACAGTTCCGATTTTACCTCTAAACTCAAGAAAAGGCCATCCTGTTATCTCACCATGCTACCCGTCAATCTGGAGCAATAATTCATGTCCAAGTTTTAGAAATACGAGGATACTCACCAAGGTCTGTAGAGACTTTCTCAAACTGGCTAAGGATAGCACCTGCATTTGCTGACAAGAAGGCCTCATCATCTGCAGTCAGCTAAACAAAACAAAGTCCAGTGGAATATGTTGAAATCACGACAAGTAGTTCCAGGAACCACCGTTAAGAATGTCTCAGGACCACAAACCAAGAAGTTCCGTACCAAAACTTCACACTTTTTTTATACCTAATACTGCATTATATTAAATTAAATATGGGGTACCTTCTCTCCGAGTTTCCTGAGAGCTGTTAGTATCTCCACTTTCTGTTGTGTGTACAGGTCTCTTTCCAGCTTTCCTACCATGAGATCTCTATCCATCTACAATGGATGAACACAAAGCATATGGTATTTAAGTTAAAAACAGTGTGAATAAAATCCAGCTTTTCAGATCTACTTTTTTAAAAAAAGATCCTCTAGCCAATGAATATTATGAAGAACTGTAGAAACAATTCAAGGCAAACATGACAGAAATGCTGTTACACAGTTCTAATAAATCTTAATGCTTTCACACACACTGTCTTAGCTATAAACTCTACCGAGGAATTAGTACATAAATAATTTCCTTTAGAGAGGAGCCATCCTCTAAGAACTCATTTCATTAAACTGAAGTGTAGTCTATAGGCTTGAATGAGCTAACTGGTATCAGATCTCCTGAAACTTTGGTTATATACCACCTTTACCACCAGAAGCACTGATTGTATACATTATGCATTGGTACTGTTCTATGTGCTTTACGTATATTACATATTACACATAACACATGCTCTATTTCTTACTTCATTTACTCCTCATCACAACCATAAGAGGTAGAAACTATTACTGTCACCTTTTTGCAGGTACGGTAACTGAGGCACAAAGAGGTTGAATAACGTAACTTCCCCAAGGTCACGTATCTACCTCCATATGGAGCAGGGATACAAATTCAGCCAGTCTAACCCAAGTCCGTGCTCTTAACCACTATGCTATTGCATTACCAGTAGTTGCAAATAACTATTAATGCCTCAATTACATTCAAGTCTATATACAGACTTCCTGAAGTATCAGGTTTATAAAAATGTTTGAGATTCTTGGATGAGAAAGGCCACACACGCAAAAAGCAATGCTGCTAATGAATTCTAGATGGGATTTCAACTCAGGGCTTCGAAAATAAATGGTAAAACTGTAAAGCTGGAGTCCCATTCGAAGCAGTCAGTGGCAATTTCATCTGTTTAAACCTCTACATTCATTATCAACATAATTGCTCAAAGGGCTAATTTTGACCAATTTTTAATGAATAGATTATTTTTTTAGAGCAGTTTTAGGTTCACAGTAAATTGAGCAAAAGGTACAAGAGGTTTCCCACGTACCCCTGGCCCCCGCTCATGCATGGCCTCTCCATTATAAACATGCCCCACCAGGTTGTGGTACATGTGTTACAACTGATGAACTGACACTGACATGTCATTATCACCCAAAGTCCATAGGGTGATACCCATCAGGGTTTACTCTTGGTGTTGGACATTCTCAACTGACCAATTTTTATACTTCAGAATAATATAACGAGCAAATTCTTAGGCTGAGTAAAAAAATACACACAGCAACGGGATCAATTTAAAGAAACTTTACCTCTGCTAACCGTGTCCGAAGCTGACCTGGTTGTTTCTTTGCAAACAGTCTGATGACCTCTGGAGTTTTAAAGGCCTGGCTGATGGCAGCCTGGATAGCCTAGAAATACAAGAAGGTAAAAACTAACCAAAATACTGCAATGAATTGGATATTGCAATAATTGATTGATGAGTCTTTACTAATAGATCTCTTTGTTCATCACGGTTACAATTTTAGTTTCCATTTGCTATTTCTGTGCATGTTACTGGACTCAAACACATAACTAAATAAAGATCTGGAAGCATATGCTGTTTTATCCACAAATAGACACTCATCTAGTAGTTAAACCCAAAAAAGGGTACATTTTCTAGCTTAAGCATACTTACAAAAAAAAATAAATAACCTGTCACCAATGTAAGTAAATTATGCTTACCAGTTGCATTCCACTTAGTTCATCTACCAAAGTCATATTTCCAGACATAATTTTCTTCAGCGAATCATTAAATTCACTTAGTTGCTCCAAAGTTTCCTTCTTGGTTTCTTCATATTCATCTGTATCAAGTTCCTCTCTGAAGTACAGTAAACATAATGTAGAAAAATATAAGGTTCCAAGTGAAAAAAGCAAGCTTAGTATTTGTACACTAAGACTTCTGATACATGTATTTACAAAAAATATCTTGGGAAAAGAAAATATCTTGGGGGAAAAGGCTGAAAGGATATATCAAAACACTAATGATGGATGTGTTCACATATTAGTAGTACGAGCATTTTTCTGCATTGTGGTTACTCTGATAATTAAACATTTTTCTTTTACCAAAATGAGACACACTTAAACCACATAATAGCTTCCTTTTAAGCAGTCTATGAATCAATGGTATAACCTTGGGCAAGATACTTAACATAGCCAAGCCTCAGCTTCTTTATCTATAACCACAGATGACAGTACCTACCCTATAGGGTTGTTACGAGCATTAAATGAAATATGGAAAGTACTTGGCATATAATAGCTATGTGATAAGTAGCTGTTATTAATATCATCATTATCATTAATGGTAGGTAAAATTTTGTGCACCTTGAAATACAACGGCAATGCAATACTTGTCATCTGAGTTATTCACCCATCAAACAGGCCATTTATTAAACATTTACTACAAATGACAACAGCTACCATTTATCGAGCACCTATTCTGGGCCAAGCATTGTGTTTACCCCTTCATTTGTAATATTTACCAAGGTTGTTATAAAAAAAAAGGCAATGGACAGTCTTGGTCCTTTGAGCAGGTAAGGCTGAAAACACACCAGAAGTTCAAGCGGTACCTTCTCGGGTTGATACAAGACAGGGTTATTTTAAATACTGAAGACAAGGTAGATGTTGTAATTTCCACTTCACATGCGAGGAAATGGAAACTTAAGGGGGTTAAATATTTTACCCAAGTTCACACTCACTTAGTAGTTAAATCCCAGGCTTTTTGACTCCAAAGCCTGCACTGAGGTTATTTCTCCGACAAAGCACTGTGAAGAATGCTACAGTGGAAACCAGAATCACACAGGGCCTGCACCCATGGAGTTTATAATCTAGCTGCAAAAAAAAAGCCATTTTACAGCATAGCCCCATACAATTATACTATTACCTGCATTCCTCCAGATCTTGTAATTGCTGCATTAGTCTATCCAACTGTTCTTCTAAATTCTGCTTTAACTTGCTTGTCTCTGTCTTTCCTCTGGAAGCCATTTTAATTTCTAAGTAGAACAATAAACCCACATACGGTATATATTTGGTTATTTGAAATGATTCAAGATACCAGTAAAATTCAAAATAGGCTATACTCTTTCTGAGCTGCAGGTGTGGGAAAGGTAGTTGCGCAAGGAAAATCTCAATTTACATGTAAAAGTTTCAACTCAGATAGTAATAACACTCCACAAAAATGCCTGGCCGTCTTTTTTATTTTATTTTATTGGGGCATTAAGGGAGGGGAACAGCGTTGCGGAATTCGGGAAGGGGAACAGACAAGTTGCTGCTGTTTTGTTCTTCAGTCTAGTTGTGGAGGACGTCGCTTCACTGGCCCATGTTGGTATTATCATTGTGTTCTTCCCGGGTGAGGCAGCTGCTTGCGGGCCATTGGAAGGCCGCTCACGGCAGCTCACCAAAGCGCACGCCAGTTGCCAGCCAG